GATGAAAGCCCAAAAACAAAGGTATGTCGTCGCCCAAGCCTGCAGAACGCTCAGATGTTGAGCGAATGAAGTATCCTACAATCGCCCAGAGCGGAAGATCAATTGTTGCCAAAAAATGCCTAGTTGCCTAGAGTCCCAGCAATGACTAAAGCATGTTGTTATCTAAAGTTATGATCTAAGGCAGTTTGAGCACATCACAATTACGCCCCACGATTTGAGAGAGTTGATGGCAAGCAGTTATGAAGAGGCCGTGGTGATAGGAGTTGCACACGGTAGTTATTGACCAGCCGACCATGATGAAAGAAATGGGTAGTTACAAGCAGTTTCTAAATGATCAAAACTGTCCAAGCAGCATAAAAGAAAGAGGAAGACAATGAAGAGAGCCCCGACAAAATTCACTCTCAAACAGAGAACATGTAATTTACCTTTCTTAGATTAACTTTTAATTACTTCAATTCCCTTGTACTTATGTGCTTGCGCCCCTTGGAGGCATCTTGTTCGTATCCAAACTGTAATCTTCATATTCAATAAACACCAATTTTTGGGACTTTGTTCCAAGAAATTTGTCCCTTACACAATCGTCTGATCCCTTTTTAATTGTTAGCGAGCAAAAACGCGCGAAACAGTTATGACACTTTCAAGTTTTAAATTGCAACTTTCTGGGTATATGGTTAGATTTAGTGCAATAAAATGTATGTCTCATCCCATGGTTTTGATTTTCTCAAACATGATGAGCAGTAGAAGTGAATACATTACTTGTATTTCTGATGTTATGAAAGCATCATGATTTTATATATAAGATTTTCAACATCTGCCATAATTTTTAGGATCAAAACTCAAAACCCATGATTTTTTTCCATTGGAGAAGTTCACTATGTGGACAAAAACTTGTACATTTATCTTCCTAGAACTAGATGTTGTTTGTCTGCTCAACTTTTCATTGTTTTCATTGAATTTATCTTCCCCAGCAACGATTATTAGATGCACGTCTTTTTATTGAGTATAGGCTTTACTTGGTTTCGAGTGTATTTTGTTGATGAGGTGCAAGAGATAGGATTGCTGCTAAATTTCCTTTCTTAATCTTTTACAGAGGTTATGAAACTATATTTAAACATGACAAGGTTATTGATTGTTCCACGGGCTTAGACTGGTTCATATTGCTTTGTGCTAGCCCAATGCAAACCTTGTGCCAATATTTTTTTGGATAAAATTCATATTTAAGAATTTAATTATGACTCATTTCAAAACTAAGAATTAAGGTTTAAAATTTTTAAAAAAATCAGATATTATTAAATTTTATTTATGAAATAATTAATTAAAAATAAAAATTTTTATAGGTCACATATTATTTCTCGGCCGGAAAAAAAAATTTATTGGTCATAGATTGATCATCAATAACGAAACAAAAAATTTTATTGGTCACAACCGATTCATTGGTCACAATAAATTGTGAGTTATAATACTCACATTTTTAGATCACAAATTAACCAATTCTTGGTCACAATAAACCAAATAATTGGTCACAATTACCCCGTCCCATCCCATCTATCCCACAACCATCATGTCCACTGCTGCCTCACTTAACCGTGCAAAACCTCTATCACACACCACATCTACACAAAATCACCATCACAATAACCATTACACCACCCTACATCAAACTCCGACACCATTGTCTCTACCACAGCGCAGCATCACCAAACACCCTAGCACCAATCGCGAGTGCCTTGCGTACCACGTGTCACGACTAACAACACCACCACCACCACCACCACCATAAAATCACCACAAAATAATCGCAAATTCATCACAAAAACAACCACCATAAATCCAGTGCCCCACAGAGCTCGATTGCTGCACAATGGTGACCAACGTACGTCGCTGTGCACGGTGCTTTGATCTTGCCGCACGCAGCAGTGAACTCAAGCGCCATTCAATGGCAAACGCTGAATGGTTAGCCGCTCATAGTGGTTTTTCAGTGCGATGGAACAAGTGTAGATCAACAATTGGGCCATTACCAGATGGGTAGAGCCCACTAACTCATAATTATCCACTAGTAAGATTCTTGGCTCGTCTCTGATTCTTGGTCTACCAATTG